TTGAGAGTTTAGAAACCATCACTGATAACTTTATCATAGAGGATTTTGGAAACATCGATGTAATCATCTTAAAAATTATTAATAAATTCTTCCTTTATCAAAAAAGGGTTACCATAGACACAAATTATAGTTTGTTCAAAAGCCGCTGGTAATGCAGCCTAAGAATATCTTGTGTGATGACCCTATTAATGAGTCAGTGATCTGTCTTGAGCTGACCCACAATTTGAAAACTCCAAATTCAAAATGCAAGGTTGCTGTCATACATATGCATATTTGTAACTTCATCATATATCCATAGTTTATAAATGGAAGTTCAAATTGCTCTCTCTTTATCTGAATGAAAAGAGATAGAAGAAGTTCTCATATTCTGGATGGAAACCAAACTAATGTCCTGGCGTAGCAGGTACTCCCTCCATTCTAAATTATAGAACGTTTTAGCTTTTCTAGATACACAACTTTTGCTATGCACTTAGATATGCACAATGCACTATGTCTAGATACATAATAGAAAACAATGTATCTAGAAAAGCCAAAACGTTTTATAATTTGAAACGCAGGGAGTAACAACAAGGAAGTAGTCAAAAGCTCAAAGCTTTCTATTTCTTTTCTCCAGGCTGCAGAACAATCTCTAAAGGCACTACAGATATTTGAGGGTGGTGTTGCTGACACTCTGGTTTCACAATACAGCGGTGGCATGAAACGTCGTCTCAGCGTTGCTATATCCCTAATCGGCGACCCTAAGGTTAAACTTGTCCTGTGCAGTTATCCATGATCAGTGAAATAGACAGCATTTCTTTTGGAGACAGAACAGTATGCAATTTACCCAATTGATTAAAGGTTATATATTATTTGGGGCATTTTAATTTGTAGGTGGTTTACTTGGACGAACCAAGTACAGGATTGGATCCAGCATCAAGGAGTGCCTTATGGAACGCTTTGAAGTTTGCCAAGAAGGACAAAGCCATAATCCTCACAAGTAAGATTAATTTTCTGCACTTGTATTTTTCAGACACTAGCTAACCCACTTTCATAGTTTTATATCTGCTAGTAATCACAACATTTTCACTGAGCTTGAAACCATGGAATGTCTTCTTCAACTTCCAGCGCATTCCATGGAAGAGGCTGAGGCTCTATGCGACTGGATAGGAATAGCCGCCTATGGACGTCTCCGGTGCACCGGAACCTCCAAAGAGGTACACACTCGTGCCGGCCAGGCCAGCTAACTCTGTTGCTTTTCAGAAACGACCACTGGCCTACGGTGCTAAAGCCATTGCACGCATGTTTCTTCTCCCAGCTGAAGGCGAAGTACGGAGGCACGTTCGTGTTCACGGTGACGGCGGCGGCGGGCGAGGACGAGGCGGTGGAGAGGCTGGTCCGGTCCATCTGCCCCGCCGTCAAGCGGACGTACCACATCGCAGGGACGCAGAAGTTCGAGATGCTCAAGCAGGGGGTGAAGATCGCCGAGGTCTTCCGCGCCATGGAGCAGGCCAAGCGCTCGCTGAACATCGCCGCCTGGGGCCTGGTCGACACCACGCTGGAGGACGTCTTCATCAAGGTCGCTTGCTAAGGAGATCGATCGCTGCGCTGCGTGGAGCCGGCCGGGATCGCTCTAAGATCCTTGCAGGATTTGTTTGGCAACGCGTGCGCCGGCCAGTCGGCCACCAGCCCCCCCTGTGCTTGGACACATTCGGTTGCTCTGTTCGTTGTTGCAGAGCGAAGAGGGCAATGACGCAACGCTGTTCCTGCCACGGGATCGCCACCAAAAGCGCGTGTGCAGCACTTGCGGATACGCTTCCCCAACCCAACTGAAGATTGTTTTTCTGTTTTTTGTTTTTGCGACGCCAACTGAAGATTGTTTTTCCTTACATCTATAGCATGTGACAACTTCAGAATTATATAGTGTGTATCCCTGATATATTGGGTCGTTTTGATCTCCTGCTATGATTAAGGATTTCTTAGTTTTTTGGGCTTCCTGCAGTTAAGGATGGACAGGTTTTTGTTTTCTCTATCTACACCACTGAATCTGGGATGCATATTGTTTTTTTTTAAATCAGGAATGCACATATACTTGAATATATCTATATGTTTTATAGAAATTGTGATAAAACCTGGCCCATTTCGTATAAAGTTACACCTTTTTGCCACATTTCGACATTCATACTTTGTTCCCATCACTAGACCACAAAACAGAAGTGTACACCGCGTGCGCACATAAAAGAACCACCGAAATTAGTACAGAACGAGGCAAATGCATTGCAAATTTAGGAGGAAAAAAGTTTAGTTGGACTAAGGTTTAGTCACTTAAAGTTTAGTTAGGGGCCGTTTGTGAGAGCTCCAGCTTCAGCTTCTCCAAAGAGAATCACTCCCAACCAGCTAGCTCAAAATGCCAATTGATTCAGGTAAGCATCAGCATAGAATCACTTCTCCATTTATATTCTGGTGGGGATCAGTAGGTGGGGATCAGCAGAGACTCAATTCTCATAAGCTCCCCAACCTGCTCCCTCCTAGGAATCCAATGAAATCACTCCATCAAAGAATCAAGGAGCAGAGCTGAAGAATCAGGGAGCGGAGCTCTCCCAAACGGGGCCAGTGATGTATGATACCATCTAAACTTTAGGTGAATAGGCTACACTAGGAAAGGGTAGCTACGTGGAAGGGTATTTACATATTTTCCACGTTTATGTTAGTTTTTAGTTCGGTTTAACTCATTTTTGTAACTAGTAAACTAACAATTAGTTGGAGTTAAACTAAACTGTAGTCAATCTATTACTAGGACTACAGTTTAGATGACTAGCGATTAGTCCGGTGCATCAAATAGGTTATGAGAACAACCCACCTAAAAGGTGCACATTTTACTTAAAATGGCGAGGGGCCATTTCCATCGCAAACTCAATTGTTAAAACCCATTTCAATAAATACCATATCTTCTTCTTTTTTTGGAAATGCTCCCTGTAGGGCGTCTGGCCGTCCGGACGATGGCTTCCCAGGCCCGTGCAACGGATGGGCCCATTAGGCCCTCACTTCTCTATATAAAAAAACAACTATTGGACGCCGATTCCCCAATCCTCCTCGCTCGCCTGTCGCGGCATTCTTCACTGCCACACCACGCCATCGACCGTCGCGGTAGATTCCACTGCGTTGCACGCCGCTCGCCTTCTCCAGTGCAAGGCCACTCGCCGCGATGTTCTCTAGTGTGGGGGCGCCTCGCCGCGGGCACGTCACCAGCCCGCCACGACTTTCTCTAGCAGTGGGGGGTGCCTTGCCGCGGGAGGCCACACCCGCCTGACCACCGCTGCTGCCTCCACCGAGGGAGCCGCTTGCCGGGGCGCCACCACTCTTCGTCGAGCCCGCGCCGCCGTGGATTCCAGCGTGGTCCACGACGACAGCTGCGGCGCGCTCGGGCGCCTACTTGCCGTCCATCCTTCCTCTCTCCACCGCCCCGAGCCTCCCGCCATCCTCGCTCGCCACTACACTCGAGTGCTTGTTGGCTACCGCAGTTCCCCACAAGGTAGTTCGTGGTCGACGACGATGTCGTATTTTAGGTGTTTCAGATGTATGTGTTCAAGTGTTTCATCTGGATGTTGCGTATGTTGCAATGACTATATATGCATGTTGCAAGCGTTTGTTTCATGTTGCAAGCATATGTTTCAGGTGTTTCAAACATATGTTTCAAGTGTTTCATCTAGATGTTGCAGAAGTATATCTGGATGTTGCATAACATGCATGTTGCAAGCGTATGATTCAAGTGTTTCATGTGTTTCATACATATGTTGTAAGTGTTTTATTTGGATGTTGGATACGTTTTTGCAATGGATTTCAAGTGTTTTCAGGTGTTTCAGACGTATGTTGCAAGTGTTTTAATTGTTTCAGACGTATGTTGCAAGTGTTTTCATCTGGATGTTGCAACAGTAGATCAGGATGTTGCACATGTTGCAATGAGATCCACCTGCTGCAGATGCCTCTGCAGCCGGGGCAGGTGACTGGGACCCACGTGGGGTTCTCACGTGCGGGAACGATAGTCATCGGGCGAAACAGAACGAGCATGATGGTGGGGAGGGAAGCAGCGTGGGGTCCACGTGGTGGGCCGCGCGAAACTAGGCGGACGCGGACTCTCTTACGAGCACAGTAGCGTTAGCACCCCAGACGGACATATGGACGGTAGCAAGTCCGTTTTTTTCATGGGATTTCCAAACATTGATGTTGAGCATAGCACCCTACTAATTCTGACCATGCACAATAGCCAAATCCACCCACCCCTATAGAATTAATGCTACCGCATCCTTGCTGGGCACTGTGATATCCTGACGCTGTTTCCCGAAATTGACCTTTCTTCGGAGCAAAGGAAGGATGCTCTAAATGCAGATTGCAGAGTTGATGATCCGCTGTGGGCAAAACCGTCTTTTGCACGTGGAAGGCCACAGCTTATGTAGTGCTGCACTGCTGGTGCGTGCCTTGGCACGCCTGCTCCCAGTCCAAGTGTAGCAGCAGAGTCTTCTCTTCTCCTCGAGCTCTCCGCTTCTCTCCAAGGCGAGGAGCCGAGCGGCGATGGGTGCCAACTGCCTCGCGCAGACCAATGCACTCTTCAGGAAGAATCTCGTGATCCAGGTGATGCGTCCTCATCTCTAGCCTATTCGGTTGACTGGTTCATATCATCGCTAATTCGTTTATATGAGAGAGAAGTACTGCTGGCTGAGGGGGCTGGCCCGCCAGCCCCAGCCCAGCGATCAGGCTGGATCATTCAAATCTCTCTTCGTATTACTGGACTCCTTTTTGGTAGGATTTTTTTTTAGGTTTGCCTCTGCCTGTGAATTCCGAGGAACCGAAGAACGCAGCTCTTGTGTTCTGGTCCCAAGATTCCGATCTTCTTCTTGCCGGAGCGCATATGCACCAACAGCTCCAGCGCGGACACGGTAGGAGGGCTCGTTTGCCCAACCGAATGCCCCCTGCCGATCGCGCCGAAATGGCCGCCGGTGCTGCAGCTGCCGCCGGCACCGGACGACATGGACATCGGTTCCTCGACGTCGACCAATCTCACGGGCGCTTCCATCACAAGGGTGAAACCCGCCGCGACGTTCCTTGTCACCGGTGCCAACCGGTCATTCGCAGAAAGTAATGCTCGCACATCTTGAATTTTCGCAGTAAAATGCTGTTGCAGGTTTGGAATGGAATTTCAGATTTCTGATTCTTGTAGGTGTCATGAGTAACACGTTACCCAAGCACGATGAGTTGAATTTTGCAGCCGACATCTCCACCATTGCTGATTTCGCACTGGTTGGTTCCCTAAATTGAGCTTTGTGTGATGCTCTGCTGCGCGCTTGTTGAATTGAGCCATTGATCTAACTTCCTGCGAAACATTTTCAGGGTACAGATGCAATGCGCTTTATCTCTAATGGCGCTGAGGAACTCGGTTCTGATTTTGACCACCGCAACCACCTTGTTTTTCTTCAGAGCAGCTGCACTCAGAACGTGACACTTTCTTTTCCGGTCCAAGAAGGTCGCAGCAATTTCACCAAAGGTGAGGTTCTTAACGGCTGCCCAGGAGCTATGCACAGAAGATGATTTAGTGTTTACAGAGTTGAGCTTGGCACAAATCTACTGGTAAATATGCAATTCTGTTCTGATTTTTTAAGGAAAATAAAACTATTTTTCACAAAAAAAGGAAAAGGAAAACAGGTGCCTAGGAGTAACATTTAGTGCATTATTATTATTATTACTATTTTTAGAATGGAATTTACCAGATATTTTTTCCACAAATATTCGACGATTTGGTTGAGACATGATCAGACAGAGTACCTTTTCTGAAATATGACTAGGCTAAGTCATTGTGAAATAAGATGAACCCTAACAGCTATTCTTATCTGAAAAACTGGCCTGGATCAGATGCGGAATGTATTGAAGGATTATTTCTCTGGCGAGAGGAATCATCAGTCATTAACAGTGAATCATATAGAGTTTATTACAAAGAGGATAAGCAAGCCAATCAAATTGCTTCAGGTTTTACCATTCTTCTCCTTGATCATTTCCTTTCCCCCCTAATTGACAACTCTAATCAACTTTATATTGTTCTGTTTACAGCATATGACCTCACAAACTCAGACCTCAACAAGTTTAACTTGATTGTATCATACAACTCAACATACAAGGGTGCTACTCAATTGTCATTGTCGTTATCTTCACTTTCATTTTCACCAATCTTGCTTCGAGTTCCACGGTTACTGAATCTGGTAATTATTATTTTTGAATGAAAAGTATAATTCTCCAAGTGAAGCATACTTGCCACAACATACTATCGTTTTGCCCCCCAACACTCAGCTCACCATTATATAAATTTCATGAATTAAGATGTACTAGTTTAAAACTTCCTTGCTTTCTATTTGATAGCTTCTGCTATCTGTCGCCACACCCCCCTTTTAAAAAAAACTCTTACAATTTTGAATGTTCTTTGAAAGTCAAAATTTTGTGTTACTAAATGCTTTCGTGTTGAAAAAATTATTCAAATGTTTATGCATTGTTTTACTTATTTTATGGTGCTCCTATGCAGGTCTCAAATGCATACCTTCAATTGAGGGGCAGTGGTACTAAGATGCAGTTTGAGTTTATTAAAGACATGCCTAGAGTTGCTCAACAAGAATTGCCTATTGATATATCTTTCTTAGTGGGGAAATTGGTTTTTGTATGGATGATAATGCTTCTTTTCCCTGTATGATCTCCTTTACCGTAGACTGAACAGCATGTAGTAGATTGGAACTTCTTTTCTTTCCTGATATAGACATTAGTTGCATAATCAGATGTAAACTTGCTGCTATTGCAGGTAATCCTGAGCAATTTAGTCTATGAGAAGGAACAGAAGCTAAGAACTATAATGAAGATGCATGGCCTAGGAGATCTGGCATACTGGATTATATCATACTGTTATTTTCTTCTTCTATCGCTACTGTATATGCTCTTGGTGTTTTTTGGCTCTCTTTTTGGTAAGACGATTCGTTTCACAATTTGACAAGATGCACTGCGTTAATATTCCAAATAAAAGTGTGCATTTTAGAATTGTTAGGGTTGCACAAATGGTTAATAGTATGGGTGTCTATGTTGCACTATGTAATTCTAAAAAAAAAATAGTACACTAGTTTTATTTTTTTTTGTTTTCTTCTAATAATAGCTACTTTTGATATGGTGAAAAAATTATTTAGAATATGTTGAAATCACACATTAGGACCACTTGTGCATTTCAAATAATGTGAATTACTTTGCTTTGGAAATAATACTTGTCTTTCTGTTGCCAGGCATAAAGTTATTTAGATTGAGTGACTACAGGGTGCGATTTGTGGTTTACTTCGCCTACATAAACTTGCAAATTTCATTTGCTTTTCTTATGGCAACATACTTTTCAAAAGTCAGAACTGCTACATCACACTATCAAATTTGATTAACTCTTAATCTAACAACAGCTGACAGGATTTACTAAACCTACATCTGGCACGGCTTATATTGATGGAATGGACATACGATTGGACATGAACAAAATCTATACAGGAATTGGTGTTTGTCCACAATTTGAGTAATGTTAACTTCCTGTTTCTCACTAAGCTTCTGTTACAAAAAAAAGCGACTCGTATAATTCTGAACCAATTTTCTTGCAAAGTTTAAGGTGGCCAATTTGTTTACTTGTGATCGCTACCCTTTTTCGTTGATAATCTCCATGCAGCTTGCTATGGGAAACACTGACGGGTCGAGAGCATTTGATGTTTTATGGCAGACTTAAGAATTTGAGGGGTGGAGCATTAGATGTGGTAATGTCTGGCCACAAGTTAACTTTTACTTGTTTATTTTTGGCATTCTTTCCATGAAACTGATAAGTTCCATTTGCCACCCTAACTCCCTAAATTGTATGTGACCTGTATATTTACGATTGCTTTGTTGCTGACCCGCACCAGTACGTAATAGCTATATGAACAATGTTCCAAATTGTTTTAACATACACATACTGACAGTAAAAACTAGATGTTTAATTGTTTTATTGCAATTCCAGAAATAATACCTTTGGTTACCAGTTCAATTCCTGTTGGCTAAGTTATCGTGTTAAAATTACACATCACTAAAAGTACCAAAAGAAGATCTTTTCAAATGAATTTGTTGGTAAAAGGAGTGCTGTGATTTATCAGAAATTGGTACATCGACGTACTAAAAATTGACCATGATTATGTAGGCCCCAGTTAAAAACATCCCTCTCGTCAAAAAGTTGAGTAATGGCTATTCTAGATACTAGATTATGCCAGTCAATAATTTGTCACCAATTAAATCTCTTCGAAAAGAGATAGTAAGAGGCATTGAATTCAATACATTCTCAACATTAGCATGTAGGTAATAAACAATATTAACATGCTAGAAAAATTCTCTTTTAGGTGTGTATAGCCTATCCAAGTATTTTTTCCCATAATCTAGTTTGTGAGCTATCTCTTATTTTGAAACTCCTACATTGCAGAAAATCTTTTTTGAGGAAAAAAAAAACATTGCAGAAATCACCCTGGACCTTTAAAAGACCTTTCCAAAACTTAAGAGTCACCTATCTTATTTTGTATTCTTGTTTCAATAACATCAATCACATTGACCATTATGTGCTGTGTGCATAGTTTTTACGGCGGCGTGGCGAGGCGCGGCGACCCACCACCTTCACACCTTTACAGCGTCTATGGCGCGTGGCGTGGCGACGCCATACACACATCGGTGTGGCGAATACATACATTATAGTCTAGGATATAAGGAAATTATATTGACAAATGGTAATGCAAATGTAGCTTAAAAGGTATAGTCTACAATATTAGCAAATCAAAATAACAATATAAATGTAGCAAGGAATTTTAATTATAAGTACATGGGGATCAATAGAGGATAATGGAGATCGATGTGGCTTCATGAAATTGCAGGTAAATATGTTATTGTAGATATATAAATATATAGATTATGTGCTAATTTGTCAAAATATGTAAGAAAGAAAAAAGAAATGAAAAAGAAAAGAGATGGTATGGGCTTTTATTTAGTGGCCCATCTAAAAAAGCCCACGCACCGCCGCATAGTCTTTACCCTAGCACTAAGGCACACAGCCTGATAGCCGCCGCCGTTTCTTATCTTCCTCGCAGCGCCGCCGCTCCATCTTCTGCTCCCTCCCCCACTCGCGCTCGGCATGAAGGCGACGCTCCATCTTCTGCTCCGTCCCCCACTCGCGCTCGGCATGAAGGCGACGGAGGCGGAGCTCAAGCTCGGGCTCTCAGCGACGGCGGGGCAGTCCCAGGCTCGGCGGCGGCGTCAGCGGCTCCTCCTCCCGCCTCTCGCCAGTCACCTGGCGCCCTCGCCTCCGTCCTCCGCACACCGGCTGGCGACCCTGCGTACGCACCTCCCTCTCCCCTCCCGCCTCCGCTGGACCGTCGACGGCGCATGGCCCCTACAGGTACCCTCACGGCCTCACCCTCACCTTCACCGTCTATTGCGCCCGCCACAGCGCACAAAGGCGCCACAGGACGCCAAATCGGCGCCACGGGGACGCCACGGCGCTATGGCGGACGCCATACACGCCGGAGCCGTGGCGTCGCCGTGGCGAGAGCCGGGAAAACGCCACGGCGATATGGCGACGATATGGCGTCGGTATAGCGACGCCTTAACAACTATGGCTGTGTGTCAATTAAATCAAAGTACTGTTTCTCTCCTCCAGGCTGTGGAACATTCTCTGAAAAGTGTAAGGCTATTTGATGACGGTATTGCTGATAAGCGTGTGGCAAAATACAGTGGTGGCATGAAGCGTCGTCTCAGTGTTGCTATATCTCTAATTGGTGATCCTAAGGTGCTTGCTTGTATTTACATACCTGACCATAATTCTGGAATAGAGTTCATTTCTTGTACAATTATCAGAAAGAGTTGTGTTTGCGGCAAATCAATGTGGAATGCTGTGATGTGTCTTTCTTGTACAGTTCGCCCATGTAAAAATCAATGTGGAATGCTGTGATGTGCCTTTGGCCCCGTTCGTTTGGCTGAAATTGGCTGGAAACACTGTTCCGACTGAATTGTTGTGAGAGGAAAACATTGTTCCGGTTGAAAAAAGAAGCTGAATAAGCCAGATTATAAGATAAGCCGAACGGGGAGCACTGTGGATTGAACCCAGCGTCAAGGAGAGCACTGTGGAATGCTGTGATGTCTGCCAAAGAGAACAGGTCCATAATTCTGACAAGTACTATGTTCCACCTGTATTTTCAGACACCACTCCATTCTCAGCTTCCCTAATGACAGTATTTTTTAATCAGCTGCCATCTTGAACTTTGACAACATGATTGTGCCTTCAACTTTCAGCGCATTCGATGTAAGAGGCTGAAGCTCTATGCGACAGGATAGGAATCATGGTAAACGGGAGCCTGCAGTGCATTGGAAACTCCAAAGAGGTAGGTCTTATCCATGTAACAAGTCTGTAGTTCTGTACTGATCTACTACCAACTTGCTAAAAGATGTCCACCACTTCATGACATTCTTCCAGCTGAAAGCCAAGTATGGAGGCACATATGTGCTCACCATAACAACTGCGGCGGGCGAAGAGGAGGCGGTGGAGCAGCTCGTCCGGTCCCTGTGCCCTGTGGCGAACAGAGTGCACCACATCTCTGGGACGCAGAAGTTTGAGATGCCGAAGCAGGGGCTGAGGATTAGTGAGGTGTTTGAGGCCATGGAGAATGCCAAGAGCTGGCTGAACATCGCTGCCTGGGGCCTATCTGATGCAACGCTGGAAGATACCTTCATCAAAGTTGCTAGCGAGAGTGACGTATCCTCCGTGTAGGCTGTAGATAGAGGTGGTATTTGTACTTCTTTAGATTGGAAACATTCGATCGACTATATGTATCCTGTGATAATATTAACCGTATCTTGTACTGTTTCATCTATTTTAACTTAAGTCGTTTTAGCTTTTCTAGATCAATATATCTAGTGTTCGGACATCCGGACGGGACGTACGCGTCCGAACGCCTGCGCAGCCTTCCCCTGTCTGCTAATTGGCCCCGCCCCGCCCCGCGCGCACCCCGCCCCCGTCACTGTGCCCGCGCGTCTGGACTACTCGCCTCGCACGCACAGTCCGCCCCCGTCCACCTCAATTCGACCCACCCTGCACGCGCACCCCGCCTCGTCGCGCCCCGATCGCCGGCCCCCGGTGCGCCGCGTGCCACGTCTGCCGGCCCCTGGCTCACCGTGTCCCCATTCCCCAGCGCCCGTGCAGTGCCACCATTGCTCCCTGCGCCACCTGACTCTCCGAACAACATGAAACACTTGAATGCGACATACGTCTGAAACAGATGAAACATCTGGAACATACACTTGCAACATATATGTGAAACATATGCAACATCCAGATAAAACACTTGCAACTTGCAACATAAAAAACTTGCTGCAACATAAGATTGAAATAGATTAAATATTTGGAACATACTATTGTAACATATGTATGAAATATTTGCAACATCCACATCAAAATGCTTGTAACATACGTCTAGAACAGATAAAACATTTTGGACAAACGCTTGCAACATGCCTCTAAAACACTGGCAACATATGTAATATGTGCAACATCCTCGATCTACTTTTGCAACATTCATATGAAACAATTGCAACATATCTATACATTTGCAACATAGGGGAGGGGATGCCTGGGCCGGTTGATTTCGACCGTCAGGGTGAGAGCCGGTGGCGAGCGGCGGCGTGTGAGCACCACTAGCATCCCGCCGCGCTCGTTGGTGCCCTTGGTTCGGCCGGGGATGACTTGAGGTGCCCCGGCACGTGCGCCAAGTGGCTATCGGCAGGGACGGCGGCGGCGAGGCATCCCAGTGACGTTGGGGGTTGGGGAAGTGGCCGGGGGAGACGCTTTGTTGTCAGCGGACGCGAGATAGAGAGCAAGAGATGGGGAGAGTAGAGGCAGCGCACGCAAGATGGGGGCGCGGCAAGGGATGGCCGCGGCGGCCGGGCCACGTGACGTTCGGGTCGAATCTGCGCTGGTGGGGCAAGCGACGGGAGGGAGCAAGTGTTGCGGGCAAGGCACGCGTCGCTGGCGGGAGCGAGCAGCGCAGGCGGAAAGCGGCGAGGCGGAGTGTGGCGCGCAACGTCTTGATGGACGGACGTCCACGTTGAGGCATTATCGTTTCTAAATACACAGTAAAAACGTTGTATCTAGAAAAGTCATAATGACTTACAATTTGGAACACAAAGGGACTACCATCTATGCGATGTTGTTCGAATTTAGCTAATATTTAGCTGATTTTTTTATCAAAATTTGATGAAAAGACACAAGAGGAACTGAATGAATTATATATTTTTTAATACAAGGAAGAACTTATGGGTTTATTTGAAGTCTAGACTTGACTAGCCTAAAAGTTTGAATTGGGCGGAAATTTTAGATCGTTATGATGTTGTTTCAGGTCTTATTGAGACAGATGAATTTCACCAAAATCCAGTTATTTTAGACTAAATCCCAAAACCCTACTTCACACATGTCATAAGGGAAGTCTCATTGAAAGCACAAATCGCAAGACAATCCGAGGGCTAATGAGAACTCGAAACACCAATGCGTCCAAACTCCAAAAGTGCTGTAAAATTGCTTATGATCCATCTCACGTAACCATAGGGTGACGGTGACATACGCACAGCACCTCTCTTGTACTTTTCTTGTCACCTAATATAAAATGGTTAACTTAAAAGTACTACATTGAAATGACATAGATTATAAATTAGCCTGAAACTACTTAAACAACCCAAATGAGATTCATTCTACAAAAAACAGGACACATGGGCCACGACAGGTTGAAACCAGAATACTAACAGGCCGGGATATTACATTGTCTTCTGCTTTAGGGCTAACACCCTCCTTCAAAGTTAACGCCCTTGGCGAGAATATTGGTTCTAAATATTGACTCCATAGAGTGCAGAGGTATTACACGTGCAATAGCAATGGACTGCCCTAGGTTAATCTGGCGCCCCGAGGACCTTGTGGTTGGCCTACTCATGCTATGGCCTGATTGTCCGAGTCCGTGTGCTGTCACGACATATGGCTCGTCTTTCACCTTTTTTAACCACATAATAATTACATATTTAAGGTGAGCTATTCTCCAGCCAATTGTTCACACACGATTGATCCTTATTAGCACCTTGCACTCATTATACTCACTCCGATCTAGTTTATAAGGTGTGTACACATATCATGAATCCAATAATTAGGCTAACATTTTTAACTATTATAATACAAATTTGATATTTTTAAGATTTATAATCAAATTCATTATTCAATAATTATAAGTTGATAATTATAAATAATATAATATAACATAAATAAAATAATTAAAGTGAAATTTAAGAGAGCTATTTTTTATAAACTGGATCGAAGGTGCATAAGCAGTTTTTAGATAATGACGCAACTGGTTATATATTTGCTAGTTTAAAACTATTGTTCCACTGTTGCCTCCGCCTAGGGCCCCTCTCCTTCTTCCTATCCGGTGATCCGCCGGTGATAAGAAGAAGGGGGACCCATCTCTTTTTTTCGTAGTTTTCATATCTAGTTTGCTCAGGATTTAGTCCAAATAAGTTTACTAGCGAAATCGGATGATTTTCGGTCGAGATCTTGTTATCGTGATGACTTCGGTGATTGTCACGACGAGATTGCCATTGCAGGTGTCGATTTCATCGACAGACGGCTAATTTGTGGCTATTATCAGCAAGGGGAGGGGTGTTCCTGGGCACTCTCAACAAGGAAAATTACTCAAAGTCATCGATCTCATCATCGATAGTCGCGGAGAGGAAATCAAAGTTTGAAGGTAATGATTCTGCATCCTATGCTGTACCCAACAATGCAAATGTCGATGTTCTTTCATCGATTCAGATACGTTTTGGATTGGTTACAAAACGTTGGATCTCACGGCATGTTCAATGTTTTGGGGTGATCATTGGATTCGGCATAAGAATTGCACTCTGGCTTTAGTGTTCAACGAGGCTGTGCTCATCGAAAAAACCATTAGGGAAGGAAAAATCTGGATAGACTATTGTACCCTTTTAATTTTAGATTTTTCCGTATGTAATATGGGGCTGTACTGTGTCGAATTTTAATGGGGAAATTGTGTTCTTACCCTTGTTCAGGAGTCTAATTGTAATTTTACCCTTGTTTTTTGTAACATTGTGATTTTGCCCTCACTTTGATGAAATGAAAGCTCCGTTTACCCCTGTTTTGGATGACCGTTAAATGCACTTGGAAAAAAATAAATTAAAAAAATCAAAATATCTAAACACAAAGGCAAAAGACTAAATTGCCCCTATCTCTTCATTCTCTCTCTCTCGCTATTCACTCTTCTCTTCCTGCCGTCCCATTCCCATCTCTCCCTCCCGTCGGCCAGCAGCCTTCAGCTCCCATCGCATCTCTCTCCCTCTCCCTCTTGTCGGCCAGCAGCAGGGGCTGGCGCGTGGGTCTTGTGTGTGTGTGTGGCAAAGGCGGCACGGGCGCCTTTGGCGAGTACGCTGTGGCATGGAGGCCAGGCGGCAAAGCGGGCGAAGCGCAAGAACCCCCATCCACAGACGATCGGGCCGGCCGTCGCCGCTATTCGCCCCTTCGCCGGCGATGAGCATCACCAGCACGCCCTCCCTTGTTCTTCTCTTCTTCCTGTCATGCGAAACCGTGCGCCCAAGCCCTAACATTAGTATTCAGATTCGGATCTGGAGGGTACGCACCGTGTGCCGCCAGACCGCCGGTTGCATGACCTGCTGGTGCGGAGAAGGTTGCATCGGGAGGAAGAGGAGAGGATCAAGAAGACGAGCTGGTGCATGTAGGCAGCTGCCCGATTCATTTGGCTTTGGTCGTCGTCTCCGATAGCTCTTTACTTGCGACGAGCGAGTAGTAGTGCTTTGATTGCTTGCTTAGCTAGTGATATACGCCGCAACCCGCCAATGGAGAGAGAGACGAGAGAGATGGCATCCGTGTAACGATGTGACCAGAGAGAGGAGAGGGAGGAAGAAGAGCAGGGACGGGGTGATTGGAATTTAAAGCAAAGCTTGTTTTAGGCATCATGAGAGGGCGTGTAGTAAATGGTCAAGAAACTAATCCTCGCAAAAAACCATATCTTTTGGGGCCATCATTCTGAATTTCGATTCTTATTATTGTTTTTCTTTGCTATCTTGACTTGACGATGATGGAGTCTGTGCCTTTGATCAGATCTGCAATCGCATTGCAATGCATGCTCGCATGTATGGCCGTGTGAATCACTGAATTGAGAGTGCACCTGCGCCTGACCGTGGGCACTCTGGCATGCCGCGGCGTGGTCGGGCGGCAGGCGCCCCGAGCGAGCAGGCCTCCAGGCGCTACGCCACGCGAGGACAGGAGCAGCGAGCCCGGCGAGATGGATTTATGCGACATTGGTGAAGAGACTAGGTAAGATTTAGAGCTCATGTGATTTGATTTTTAGGAAAATTAGTATCAATCTGTAGGAAGAATGAGTTTCTGTCCGTAATGCGATTTAGCTAACTGTGTATTCGGTGATGTGATTTGTAGGCCAAATCGCATGGATATGAGTCTTGTTGTTAGAGTTCTATCATTTTTCAGTTTGCCTGATGAGGGACCAAAATCATGGCAACAGGTTAGAACCTTGCCTACTCAAGTTGTTGACATGCATAGCTTTGACCTACTGCAACTAGTTAATTTCATAGCTGAGCACTACATGTGGGGTTCAAAACAGTACATAAGTTTGTAGCGTGCATTGGATGAAATTTCTAGAGGACCTTCTATTGAGATTAAAACTGATGAGCAGTTGCTTGAGT